GGAATGTTTACTCGATTTACTTGCTCTGAGTGCTGGACTGTTATAAAAAGCAGGTTCTCGTTAATTAAGGGGCTTGCTATAATGTACTGTGTAACGCTGATAAGATCCTGGGTGTTGGCACCAGCTCAGTCTCTGTATTCGGTGCTGCAGAGGCGGATGGCGACGTGGAGATCGTTTATTAACTCTGAGCGTCACCTGGCTGATGTCATTGCCAATTACACCGGTAACTTCTCACTTACAAAAGTTGGTGTTGATTTTGATAATGCTGAACATTATTGGAATATTTCAATGGTTTTGAATTTGCTACAAGGTCTCCTGAATATATGTTTAATTATATATGTACTCAGAGTCAATCGACCATTTAGGGGTGTATACCCATTTATTTCTCGTGTTATTGTGCTTGCCATTCCGACCCCCATGACAAGCACTATAGCTACTCAGACTAGTACAGTATCAGTTGCCCCCGTAAAAAAGAAGAAATGTGTACAAAAGTTAAGACATGCAGGAGACGATGATGAAGGAGAGCCAGGGCCATCACAACAGCCAGAGGAGGAAGAGCAGCCAGGGCCATCACAACAACCAGATGAGGAAGAGCAACCAAGGAAATGCGTACAAAAGTCAGAACGTAGAGGAGAGGATGATGATGGTGAGCAACCAGGCCCATCACGAGAGATGAAGTGGGAACGTTCCGTTTCATGCCAGAGAAGTGAGGGCGTAGATGAGACAATAACCACCCGATCTCTAAAAATGAGCAAGCTGCGAGATGTTCGAAAAGATTATGGCCGTCTTAAAGGTGAGCCCATTGTCACTTGGTTACTCAGATGCTGGGACATGGGAGCCAATAGTCTGGAGTTAGATAGTGTAGAAGCCAGGCAGCTAGGAGCCCTTGCCATGGATGGAGGCATTGATAAAGCGATTGGAAAACAGACACGAGTTTGTAGCCTCTGGAGATGGCTCCTGGCAGCTGTAAAGGAAAGGTATCCCTACAAGGACGAGATGCCATGTAATATAAGCAAGTGGACCAGCGTAGAGAAAGCTATTCAACATCTGAGAGAACTGGCTGTGCAAGAGTTGATTTATTATGACCAGAGAGGCGGACCAAAATGTGAGGATCCAGATGATGTCCGGTGCACACGACCAATGTGGCAAAAGATTCTACAGAGTGCGCCACCAGCATATTCCACCTCACTGGCAATAATGGACTTCGGAGACGATGATATACTCCTAACCGTAGGTAATCTGGTCAGTTACCTCCGACGATATGATGATAATACTTCCATTCGAGCTTGTGTTACGGCTATGGAAAAAACGCTGTCTGAGAAGGATACGTCTATACGATCCTGTGTTGCGGCTGTGGAAAAGCTGTCTGAGGAGGTCCGAGAATTAAAAGGAAAAGTAGACTCCTTGCCACCTGAACCTTCTAGAATTGCAGCTGTTAGAACCGGGTGTTACCATTTTCGAGAGAGACGGTACAGATCATGGGGCGAGCTGTGGTCCTATCTGCGTGATCATGGAGAAGACATGAGAAGATGGGGTGAAAAACCCACCTCAGCCTTAGAGGCAAGAGTACGCGAGTTGGAAGGAAAAACCAACAGAAGTAGAAGCTTCTCCAATTCCTCAAGGAAAGCCGTCGCCCCAGTCTACTGTGAGCGGTCCCATAGTCAACATAGGAGGACCGATACTCCTCGCAATCCTGATTCTAATCCTGCTGATTCCTCTAATAACAGGCAATAGAGGGGCCCTGCCTCCAGCCAGGTGGAGGAAAGGGACAATCGAGTTTACTGGACTGTGTGGATTCGTTGGCCTGGCACATCAGGCCTCCAAAAATATATGCTTTAGTGGACACTGGTGCCCAATGCACTTTGATGCCGTCGAACTTTAAAGGGGCAGATCTAGCTCGTTGGGCCCCTGATGCCTCAGGCCATCAAGGAAGGGATGCAACATACAGATGGGCTCGTGATCGAGGGGTGGACTTCACTATAGACACTATTGCACAGGTTATCCATGAATGTGAAACGTGTGCTGCAATCAAGCAAGCCAAGCGGTTAAAACCTTTTTGGTATGGAGGGCGTTGGTTGAAATATCAATATGGAGAGGCTTGGCAAATTGACTATGTCACACTTTCACAAACTCGTAGTGGCAAACGTTACGTGTTCACAATGGTGCAAGCAACCACTGGATGGTTGGAAACCTATCCTGTGCCCCATGCCACTGCCTGAAACACTATTTTGGGCCTTGAAAAGCAAGTCTTGTGGTGGCATGGCACCCCAGAAAGAATTGAGTCAGACAATGGGACTCATATCTGTAACAATCTTATAGACACTTGGGCCAAAGAGCATGGCATTGAGTGGGTGTATCACATCCCCTATCATGCACCAGCCTCTGGGAAGATTGAACGCTATAACGGACTGCTAAAAAACACACTGAGAGCAATGAGTGGTGGAACTTTTAAACATTGGGATACACATTTAGAGGAAGCCACCTGGTTAGTCAATACTAGAGGATCTGCCAATCGAGCTGGTCCTGCCCAATCAGAACTTTTACGTACTGTAGAAGAGGATAAAGTCCCCGTAGTGCACATGAGGAATATACTGGGGAAGACAGTCTGGGTTATTCCTGCCTCGGGTAAAGGTAAACCCATTCGTGGGATTGCTTTTGCTCAAGGACCTGGGTGCACTTGGTGGGTGATGCAGAAGGACGGGGAAGTCCGATGTGTACCTCAAGGGGATTTGATGTTGGGCGAAAACAGACGATAAATGAATTTTGTGATATTAATTGCTGAATAACCCTGTCATTGCATACCATTATTACTATGGTTGTCATATTATACTAATGCCATTATATTAAGAATCATCCAGGTTAATGAAGAATGAACTTCGCTGGAACCAGAAGCAACTTCCTCGAGATCAACATCTTCAACCTGCAGACGGTGGACATGGACTGTTGCTGGATACACCAACTACAAGCTCCAGCTGTCACACCCAACAGAGACTACATCATCTTTTCTACTGACCGAGTGAATTCCGCATCATCTTTCCTGCCCTGAGAGACTGCTACAACAGATGAAGTTTGGAGCTACGGACTGAATGAACTCAACACACATTTTGGAGGGATGACCCATGAGCTAAGGAAATAGTATATATATATGTAAGGTTTGAACATGACATGCATGGTATGGAATAAGGGGTGGATACTGTCCTGGTTTTAGCTGGGATCGAGTTAGCTCCTCTTTTTAGCAGCTAGAAGAGCTCCGTGTTTTGGTTTTACTCAGAGGCTCCCTCTGAGAAGAACGCTGACAGCGCACTGATGTTTGTAGTTGGCACCGAGGGCTCAAGGACTTTTCAGCTGCCAGGTTCTTGCCAGTGTGCAGGAGCACAACAGGATAAGGGGGGAGTATAGCCGGGACAAGGGGGCCACGACTCTCCTTACGATTTGTACCTGGACTTAAGATTGAGGCCAAATTGGCCAATTAGTATTCCATATCATGCAGCGTCGTGCCCAGTATAAAAGTGAGGGTCAGCCGGAAAGAAGAGCTTTTGCCCTTTCGGGACTCTGATTTTCAGGCTCTCAGAGTGTTTTCTCTCTCTCTCTCGCTCTCTGTCTCGGGGCCTCCCGTTCGTCCGGGACTGTGGTATCGGGATTTATCTGTTTCGGGATTGCAGCTTCGTAACGAGACGGGCCTCGGTCAAGGGGTGGTGAGCAATTACACCGTACATCACTCGTTTGTATGTGTTTATCCTTGTACGTATCTCTATACATGTATATTGGTAGCGGTAGTAGTAAATTGTTCTTATCTCAACCCTCGGGTCTCTTTTCTTTTCCTCTTTGATTCTCTCCCTCATCCCTGGGGTGGGGGAGGGTGAGGGGGGACTGTGTAGGGTATAGTTGCCGGAGTGGCCTAACCCATGACATTCACCTATGCTTCTTCTGACGCTGTTGTGTCAGCAGGGAAATAAGCTGACGCATACAGGAGTGGAAGGGTCAACACTGTTGGAACACACGGCTGGTTGCCCCCCACCAGACACACTCATAGTCCCTGCAGACACTGGCAAAACTTCAGTAACAGTACTCAAAGCGTACAACCGAGAAGCAATGGCAAGGCTGACTGTACACACTGTTTCTCTAGCCCTTGCCCAAGTGTCAGTTTTATTTTAAAGACAAAGCATATAAAAATGCACAATTCTCTCCCAAGGTACTGTACACTATTCAGCAGGTTAAAAACCAAAAAAAATCTTTCATTAAAAAAGTCATTACATTATTTGTATACATCAAGGATAGTCTACATAATCATGTCAATCTAGAAAATATGTGCATTATAAACCATTTCCATGCAACGGAAAAAGTTCTGATTTCAAAGGTGGTATAAAAGACAACACAGCAGTCCTAACCACTAGAACACTATATGTAAAACAAAACAAATGCGCATCCTTTTATTGAATGTGTTTGATGAATAAAAGACAATAACGAAGATTCCAAAAGATGAAGATATTTTTGTTTCCACCAAGCGACTACAGTACCAGAAGATACAGGTAATGTGAAGTGTGTGCAGTCATCGTTTTAGGCAAAGTGCCTCTTCAACTGCTTGTTTGTCGTGCTTACCCGAGACAGACTGCTGTGTTTAAGATGACTGTGGTGTGGTTTCTGCATCTAGTAACTAAGTATTCAATTACCTTGCGAGCTTAAGAGCACTGCACCTATAAAATAGTGTATCTATTGCATCAAAGTATAAAATGTGTTCCTTACAGTTTAAAAATCTATAGAAAAAGTTTGTTTTCCGTACAAAAATGCTAAAATTTTGTCAAGATATACATTTTGATTTGTGAAATTTAACACATTCCCTGTGACAAGGAAAAGAGGCTAATAAACATGAGGCATTTCTTAGCTGTACCAACAACCTGTATTTAATTATGCAACACCACTGCTTGCTTGATGCTAGCAGCATGGAAAAAAGCACCACAGAGAGTGTGTTTTGGTGTAACTGAAGAGTCACAAACTGCTTTCTAAGTTGGTGGAGGCCCATTGGGGTATTGCAGCATGGGATAGAAAGAACGGGCGAAATTGTTTGCCCTGGTGCAGCTGTAGTGTTCCTCCGGAGATCCAATCGTGCAAGCCAGAAGTAAAAGCAGTAGCTGGAGCAATATAAAAAGTAAAGACGCTCGTAATACCCGGTAAATGAAGGAGGGAGATGCAGGAATCGCTTCAATAGGTTGTGGATGGCGTTCGCCTCTGAAAAGGAGAAAAAAAGGAGGGGGAGAAAAAAGAAGAGAGACAAATAAAAAAAAGGCACTTCAGAATCTGAATCAAACAAGCTGTTTGAACTCCCTCTCTCTGGGGTTCACACTACCCTTCCAAGATGCAGGGCTGCATAACTGCAGGGAAACACACTGCACATGAAACACTTTTAACCAGAACTTGAAGGCGTGCGAGACTACTCAGTAGGAAGCCAGCTGCTGGCTTGGGTCTACTGTCCTTACTACTGAAGAAGAAACATTTCTTTGGAATAACTAAGATCAGTGAGTTTCTACCCTGTTTTCAGATGCAAACTTCAGTTTTCCCAGCAGACAAACTAACTACTCTAAATACATGCTGAACTACAAAGGATAGCCACCATTCAGACTGATTATGCTCTTCTTTGCCTTGGCATTACTGAGCTCTGTCCTTTGAACAGACCCTAACGTACTGGGGTGAACTTCTGCCTCTGTCCTTCATGGTTTGTTTGTAGTAAGAGGCTCTAAGCTGCAAGCTTCTTTCTACAGGTATGCTGGTGGAATTAAAGGAAGACTGAAAAGCAAAATATTCTCCCATTTGGCATAAAAAATATTTTCTCAAGAGTAAAGACAAGCCAAGGTTGCACATTGGTGCAGAGGTCTAGGAGCAGGAGTGCTAAAGGAAACTATTCACCAAGGTGCAGCCCAGAGCTGGCAGGTAGAGGAGACACTACATACAGGTAGGCAGAAATCACCTCCACCTGTATGTCAACCTACGAGGTACAGCTGCTTGGGCTTCTGCTGGCACTCAGCTCTCCTCTGCCATTTTCCCTATCTTTCAAGAGGCCAAGCTAATGTTAAATACTACCTTGTCCTTCTCCTTCTGCCATCTGCAGTTCTCCTTACGGTGATCTGTTGAGAGAAATAGCTTTTAGTATCCAGGTTTCAGAAACTACAAGGAATTTCTCTCTCTCAAAAAATACAGTTGTAGACTTTAAAGTCCTGTTGTAAATTCTGTAATAAGATACACACATCTAAAGGTAAAATGATGACATCTGAGGAGCTTTCAGGCTAAATATGTCAAAATACGCTATATGCCGATAGTAAACTATTACAAAAAAAATACTTGCCTCCTCCTCCACAGGGCTGGATTTTGCTGTGACTCGATTACTGGC